GACCCATCTGCTGGTTTTCCGGCTGACCTGGAAGGCAGCACTCACCCTCGTGGCCTCCAGAGAGTTTCCAAAGCACCTGAGAACATCTGAAACACCTACTGCAAGGCACAGGCATCAAATGAATGGGACTTTTATTGTTCTTCACAGTACAATCAGCAGAGCTCCAGTTTACAGACACTGCTTCAGCACGTGGTTTGTTCAGTCACCTCTGTCCCCTGGCTCTCCCTGGGCAGGTGCCACCCACCCCCCAGGTGGGTCAAGCATTGAGGTATTTTGCATGGTGCTTGATGTGGTCATTAATGAACGTAGCAATGAAGAAGTAGCTGTGATCATAACCCTAGAAAAGAACAACAAAGAGATCACAGAATCATTAAGGTTGGAAGAGACCTCTAAGATCAGGTCCAACCATCAACCCAACACCACCACAACCACCAAACAATGTCCCAAAGGGCAACGTCTACACATTTTGAACCCCTCCAGGCATGGTGACTCCACCACCCCCCTGGGCAGCCTGTTCCAGTGCCTCACCACTCTTTCAAGAAAGAAATTCTCCCTAATATTCCATCTAAACCTCCTGGTGCAACTTGAGCCCATTTCCTCTCATCCTATCACTAGTTACTTGGGAGAAGAGACCAACCTCCACCTCACTCCAACCTCCCCTCAGCCTCCTCCTCTCCAGGCTAAACAATCTCAGCTGCTCCTCCTAAGACACAAGACTAGGAAGCTGAACAGAGAGAAGGTACCTTAACCTGCCTGCTCTGGGCATGTCAGTGAGAGGTGGGTGCCAGCAGTCACCAGCTGCAGAGCAGGATGCAGCAGAAGAGAACTGTTCCCCTCATGGGCACCCCCAGCTGGTAAAGCACAGCCCAGGCCTGGCTTCCTGCTCCAGCCCTGTGCTGAAGGGACCTGGGAAGCTCTGAGCTGCTCCACCCCCTTCCTGCTTCACACCAACACAAACTCACTAAATCACAAAGTTCTGTGCTGAACACGATGCCCACGGTACACAGAAGGAATCCAGCAGAAGCTCATCTGCCACCGTGCCCCTGCAGGGACTGCTGCCCACTGAAAAGGATCCGTGCTGCTGCTTCTGCTGCCCAGCAGCTGGAGCCACCACCCCAGGGCAGCTGCTGGAACCCAAACCCTGAAACCCTGACCCCCCCCAAAGTGCTGAACTGCGGCTGACTCGGGTGGACACTGCACTCCCTGGTGGCTGATACTGAGAAATGTCACTTCTCAACCTCCTCCTCACTCGTCCAGGGGGGTGCAGCCCCACGAAGAGACATTCTCTGCACCACCAGCCAGCCAGCAGGGCTGGGCCTGCAGGAGCAACTCACCTGCTGCAGCCTGAACACCACGGGGACCTTGCGCTCGGTGCAGGCGGCGATGAGGTTATCGGGCAGCAGCTGCCCTGCAGACAGGAACTGGTCATCCTGGCCCTGGTCGATCAGGATGTCCAGCTGAGAGCCTGGGCAGGACTTCACGAGCTCTGTGGCATCATATGCCTGCAGGAATAAAGGGGAAATGGCATTACTCAGGTAGGTCAGACTGGGTGAAGAGACTGGTGGATGTGGGGTGTGGGGGATACTGAGCATGACACCTCACTGTACTTTGGAAAAGAAAAAACAAACAAAACTGGGGAAATTCCAGACAACTGAAACATAACACCCATGTTTTAAAAGGGCAAAGGGTGTGATCTGAGGGATGACCAAGCTGGCAGCCTGATATCAGACCCTATGTGCAGCCCAGCTCTACACTCACACCCAACAGAACAACCACCTGGTACCAATTCACATGCTCCTACAGAAAAACCAGATCCTGCCCAAAACTCAGTATCTTGGTGTCTTGATAGATATTTTGGCACCTAAAGGTCAAACTCTGGTGTGACACATGGCAATTTTAAGCAGAGAGATGGAAATCAGAGGTTGCTATCTGTGCAAAGTCATCTCTGAGTCCATTCCTGATGCCTGCTGTTGATCTGCTGGACTGGGTTTGCAGAACAGCTCCAAAGTTAAGGGGCCAGAAAACTGTTTTTTAAAAAAATAAATTCATTATTTGAAGTGTAAATGGGTTTAACTGGTGGGATTTAACAAGGGATTCAACTGCAGTTTGTGTTTGTTGACAAGGAGGTCAGAGCACCAGGCCACAGTGATCCCTTCTGACTCCATCCTAGGGATGCAGTGCAACGTTTATGCTAAGCTGAAAGAGACTGAAGGGCTGCCCAAATCAGGCTTAGGGGGGCAGGAAAAGAGCAGCACCAGCTCAGGGGCACCCCTGAGCTTTGTCCCAGCCTCCTGCTGCAGTGTGTCTGCAGATCACTCCCCCAGGCACTGTTCAACACTTACTTACCTTCCACTTGCTGACATCTGACCCCAAATATCCACCAAGGGCTTTCTTCCCCCACTGGCACTGAACAGGGTTGCAGATAGGAGCAAATGCTGATACAGACTGTTCAGAAAAACACATCAACAAACAATCAGCCATGGAATAAACCTGTATCAATGAAGAAAACTGATTTCTGCTAGCTAACAAGCAGACTAAAAGCCTTTTCAGAAGTTGTTGCTGCCAGAGCCCAGGACTCCCCCACCAACCCTCTGAGGTGCCTTAAACATTGTCCTGCTTCCCTCTTCCTTGTTCTTTCCAGCCCCAAAGTTTTGCTTTCCTTTTGGCACATCATCAGGCAAGCTTCAAAAGGCAGGACTAGGGGCCCTGTTCCTTTCCTTGCTGGGAGAGGTGGGCTTGAATTCCCTTAAAGCAGCAGAGAATTCTCTCAAGTCCAGTGCTGGGTCAGCCTGGTCAGAGTGTGGGAGCATTTCACCTCCAGCTGAATTTCAGAAGCTCAGCCTGAAGCACAGGGCTGGCTGCTCAGCCAGGCTAAGCCTCCAACAGTGTTTCAGGAATCCAGGTGCCTCCAGGAGCAGGGGGTCAAGAGGAGCATGTTTCAGATCACAGCTCCAGGTACTGGGGACAGAAGTCCAAGCCCTATTCTCACAGTCTTAGTTTGAATTTGTCCCTGGCACAACAATATTTCCACTCTCATGTCTTGTGAGAACCAGCAACAAACCACCTGAGCCACTGCCAGTTCTCCTGGATGGTCATATTTTCAATGAAATGTTCACAATTCACAGCTAAGTGCCAACAAATGGAAATTTCTGAACTTTACTGGCTCCCAAAGCTAAAAAAGACCCATAAAAGTTAACCTTTGTTTTAAATTCTGCCCTCTTGTAACACCAAGCTCATGACAAGGAGCCAATGGGATGCTGCTTGTAAAAATGCAGTTCCATTTCTGCAGCAGGTGGCCACAAAGAGCAGGGCCAGGACAGCTTCAGGTACCTCCAATACTCCAAAAATCAATCAAAAGCTGTCAGGCAAATCTCAGAGGGAGGAAAAAACCCAAGGGGAGTGTCCTGCAGGTGCTATTCCCTGTGCTTACAGTTACACTTGCTATCAGTTTGAGTTAACAGACTCCTCAGTAAATTCTGACAAAACACATACAGAATGGTGCAGTTCCATTTCTGCAGCAGGTGGCCACAAAGAGCAGGGCCAGGACAGCTTCAGGTACCTCCAATACTCCAAAAATCAATCAAAAGCTGTCAGGCAAATCTCAGAGGGAGGAAAAAACCCAAGGGGAGTGTCCTGCAGGTGCTATTCCCTGTGCTTATAGTTACTCCTTAGTAAATTCTGAGAAAACACCCACAGAATGGTGCTTTTAACTTTCAAAGTTTGCAGGTTTTTTTTACATTTCACTGATACTCCCAGGTAAGAGTAAAGTGATTTTTTTCTGGCAATTTTCCACATTTTAATACTAGGTGTCAATAAACTGCTGCAACTAAAGTTATTTATACTTTTCATGCTATAACACAACTTGGCATTGTGTTTTCTTCCTTCACTTCTATAGAAATCTGTATAAGCTTTAGTATATGTATAATATCTTACTTTGTACTTCCCAGGGTTCCTCAGAGCAAGAATAAGAGCTCCATGACCTCCCATGGAATGCCCAAAAACTGACATCCTTTCAGGGTCAGTTGGAAAATTGGCATTTATCAGTTTAGGCAGCTGTAAAAGAAGAACAGTGTGAGAAAAACTTCATGT